TTCACCATATATCGAATTTGCTAATATCTTGAGAGCGTTAGATAAAGAATTATAATAAAGATATAATTGTTTATCCTAAAAATATTTTTTCATATTTTGCTTAGCTTTTGCCCATTCTTCTAACAACATTTTACACATCAAGGGCATCAAACCCATCTTTTTTTCTTCACCATCGTGTTGAATAAATTTACCATATATTTGATTTAAATCAGAAATTATATTTAAATTTTCTATCGTAGAATCGATATTAACACATGTATCTAAAGATATACTGTTCGTAATTATTGTGTTGGGATAATAAGATGTAAAATCAACATCAGCTACCGGTTGATTGTTTAAATTAGTTGTAAGAACTAAAACTAAACCTCTTTGATATTGTTCTACAACAATTTTACCTTATCTATGGTTTGATATCAACATATCATTTTTCGCAGCATATCTTCTATAAAAATTTTGTACCAAACATCCAACACCGTTCATAAAAATATTTGATATCATTATGCATATTAAACTTGCTAGTTGTATATAGTCTCTAATTATATTTCGTTTCAAAACAAGTTCATGTAATCATAATATATCAATAGAACAATAATACGTCAATTCAACACCATATTCTTCTAATATATCATCATTCACTATCAAAGCTTCTTTACATCTTTCTAATGATATTTTTGTTAATTTTGATAATTGTTCTGCTAATCGGGTTAAATGTTGAATATCATTTCTAAATTTAATCGCATTCACGAAAACAAACATGCTTTGTAAATTTTCTTTTTCTGGAATATATGGAAGATCCACCTTTCCAGAAAGACCACAACATTTTAACACAGCATCTAACGTGTTTTTTATCTCAGTTGGAAATGTTTTTCGAGCCCAAATAATTCTATCTTCAGAAGATGAATCTTTTTCAAAAGAAAATTCCAATCATATCCTCTCGTATTGTATCCTAATTCAAATGATGGTGAATATACTTTATATATTTCGAAAAATGTTTTGATCAATTCTTCTTGTGAACTAATATGAATGATTTCAATATTTAACGAATATTTCTCATTCAATAACCTTTGTTGTATTTGAATTGTGGTTATGCAGAAACATTTAAATGGTGATTGTTCTGTTAAGAAACAAAAATCTATCTGAATCATGTATATATAATCTTTATAATTTTCTCCTACCGGTAAATATCCTGGACCTCTCATGCTGCTAGTCTCAATATCCCAATATATTAAAACCAATGGTATTGGTTTTGTGAGTTCAATTTTTTCTATATCTTTAGTAATCTTCATATTATTGTATATTTGAGGTTTGTTTATTCTATACCACCCAACCAACTCAAAATCTTGCTCACGTGCAATCTTTTGATAGTAGCATGTGTTATCATCCGAATATGTATCATATCGATGACAAAAATCTGCAAATTTTTGTTTAACCTCTTCTGAAGTGTCTTCTAATTTATTAGGAAAAGTTTCTTGTTTTTTCTCAATTATATTCAACGCTTTTTTTCGTTCAGTAAGGTTAGAAAAATAAAGACGAATAAAATCATGTTTTTCTGTAGAAACAAAAGGTTGTTTATGTATCATTTCATAACTAGAAGGATTAAATTCTTCAACATAACTTTGTGGTTTTATTATACTACACGAATCTAATTTGATATTAAAAATTACTTCCTCGATTTTTATATTTATTGTAAATTTTTGCCCATCTGAACGAACTATATACAAACGAAGTTGATAATATTTATTATAATACGCGTATTCATCAGTAGCATCATATACATAAAAACAATCCATTTTTTTTCATGTAATTAAAATTTTATTCGGTATAAATAAACTGAATAAATTATAAACGAATGAGCTCATCAAATAAAGATATGTATTTAAATAAGTTACAAGGATTTTCTAAACGAAGTTGATAATGTTTATTGTAATATACACATTCTCTCAATTCATGACAATTTTCACAAAGAAAATCCTTATTATCAAAAATAATATAATCAGAATACATTTTATCAATGATACTTTCATACTCATCATAAACACTAATTAAATATTTTTTATCAACATTTTTTTCACAAAGACGATCTCTCTCTTTCTTTCTTTGAATCATTATTTCTTTTGGTGGTCAAATATAAACCGTCTTGTGAATATTATCTAAAATAATTTTTTCTCGTTGTTTGCTCAAATATTCTTTAATATAATTCTGTGATATATTGATGTTAGTAAAAACTTGTGTGTTTTTAGATGTTTATTCTAAAAGAACAAAATCATATAATCGTGAAATTCTATTCACATTTTGTTTTTGATACGTATCAAGAATGACTTTTTGAAAGAAAAGAGCATTATTAACAGTATTTTGATAAAATATTTCTATTTCATCTTTCAATTGGAGTGACATTTCTTCAGGATGATAAATAACATATCTTTTTTTTTGTAAATATTTTTTAAATAACCTTGCTACAGTTGATTTACCAGATCCAATAGCTCCAGTAAAAACAATAATTTTTTTCTTTTAGTTTCAAAAAGTTGTAAAAATAATAAAAACAACTATAAAAAATAACAAAAATAAATAAACTATCCACAATTCGGAAAATTAACTCCATTTTATATAATTAATTTTTTATTCAGTAAATGTTTACTGAATAATTTTTTTATAAGGAGAATATCGGACACTTTTTAATATAATTTTTCTAATAGATACATTCTCAGAATCAATTCTATTTAAAAAAAATTTCTCTGCTTGAAAATCAGTTAAAATTAATTCTGACTCTTCATTATTTTCAAAAAAGTTTTTGATTCTATTAACAACTTGTTCTTCATTACATATAATTATTTGTTGTGATGAATTATCCAACCAAAGTTTAGCTTGTTTTGTCAAATATTTTCCAGTTTCATGGTCTTACTATTATAAACCAAAATCCCCAATGAATTTTTAAAATGTGTCATTGTGGATTCAAATTCTTTCAATATAAATAATGTAAAAGCATTTTCTCTATCTTTACACTGTACACATATTTGATTACCCTGATATAATAGTAATAAATCTAATCCACCATCTCCTTCAGTAACTTGAATTATATAAGCAATTATCACATTCTGGTTAAATAATTTACGAAGATCACTTTCGAAAGTATGATCTTTTGCCCAGTTTAATACCTAAAATAAAATAAAAAAATTAATAAAACATATTTTTCACTCCATGGGTTGTGGTGTCTACACGTTCGCATTCCTAGCAAAAATGAAATTTATCCTCAAGAAAATTTAAAAAAAAATTCTCTTCCCAGAATAAATTCCTGATACCTGCAGAGCAGTGTACACAAATATGATTATTAAGTGAATATAACTCACCTTTTTATTAGCCATTCAGAATTACGTAATTAAAATCTAACTGGTCAAAAAGACTAGCTAGAATAAAACTAAACAAAAATATATCAAAAAATTTAATTTTTCTTTTAA